AATTTAAATAAAGCGATAATGCATTAATTTAAAACAAAATAATTTTAAAGCATGGGACACAATATGTTCAAAGGAGATGTGACTTGCCTTGCTCGCTTTCCCAAACGTCGGCTTCAATCTCCACGTAGAGCAGATCTTCCGAAGCTGCAGCGTCTACACGACCAACAGAAAGAAAAAGGCTTTTACTCTAATAAACTCCATATAACCAGCAGAAACAAAGCACAAAAACGGGTTCTTGACTTCTTAAGGAAAAATTAGAGACTTGAATGGTCCAATTCCGAGTTCAAATGACCAAGTTATGGCCATTTGAAGTTTATATGCTCTTTAAGTGAATATTTGTGAATTTCTTCATTTAAATTTTAATTTAAAAAGGGGTTTATTGGGTCAGCCGAGGGGAGGTGCGCGTGGATCGGGTCCATAGAAGTGGGGCCCACATGGCAGCCTCACGGTCCACGGTGGACCGGGTGCACCCGGGCTCACACCGGCCGGCGCCGTGGGCCCCACGCATCAGCCGCACCCGAGGGGCCGGGCAGCTGACGGCCGGGCCCCACACGGCGCGCCCAGAGGCGGCCACGTCGGCGCGGCCGGCGGGAGGCGGCGCCCGTGCCCCGATGGTTGCCGCCGGCGACCATCGGCGCAGCGGAGCGGCGACCGAGAGGGGAAGGGAAGGGGGAAAAGAGGCGGTGGTCCTCAGCTCATCCCGGGTGATGGCGGCGACGAAGGAGGCGGCCGGAGCGGAGGGAGGTGGTGGCGCGGCTCGGGTCAACGGGGACGGCGGCGTTCCGGCGGTCGACGGGCTCGGCGTGGTGGTGGACGACGTCGGCGGCGGCGCCGAGGCGGGAGGAAGTCCGAGGCAGCGACGGAGGGCGGCTGGAGCACGGCGGCGACGGCGGAGAGAGAGGGCGACGGCGCGGGCTCGATTCCGATGGGGAGGCTGGGCGGCAAACGGCGGAAACGGACAAGGGAGGTACGGGGAGGGTTTGTATGGGATCGGGGACGAGAGAGGGCGGCCGGAGGAGGGGGAAACGGGCGTGGGAGACCCGGCTGCCTTCAATGGCGCCGGCGAGATTAGGGGAGGGGTTTCCAAGCGAATCCGAGGGAGAGAGAGGGGAAAATGGGAGAAAGGAGGAGGGAATCGGGGGAAATAATTCCCCCATTCAATTTTGAATGGGGGTGCGGGAGGGCGGCGGATTCGGCGGCGGCGGCGGCACTAGACGCGGGCGGGGCGGAGTGGCGGGAGGAGGAGGATGATGGGTGGGCCCCACCCGTCAGCGAGGCTGGCGGGCAGGCCCGCCCATCAGCGGCGCGCGCGTGGGGAGGGTGGGGGAGGCCGAGTGGGCCGCGGGGAGAGGAGAGAGAGGGGGAGGGAGTTGGGCCCAAGCGAAAGGAAGGGGGTTTTAGGGTTTTTTTCTTTTTATAAAATCATTTTAACTTTGTTTATTTCTTGATAATTATTATTTGTGCTCTGAAAATTCCACTAAAATTTATTTACACCTTTTAGGCTTTTAGGAAATATAAAAAAATCCTCCAACCTTGCTTGACTTTTAACTTTGCACATTTTAATTTTGGAGGCTTTCACTTGAATTTTAATTATTCTAGGCATAATTTAAAGGATATATTTTAGGGTCGTTTTGGGACGTGACAACTGTGCACTCCAGCGACCTGTGAGAAAAGATCGAGACCAACTGACGGGTAAATGCTAACCTCCGCAATGTCATGGACAAGCGTCGGCACCAGCGCGACGGGGAGAGGGCCTTGATCCATGAGGCCGACCCAGAGGAAAGCCGCCGACGCGCCTAGTACAAGCCGGATAGATTGCTTCCTCCAGGCCAAGACTACTCGGACGAGGTGCTCGTGCGCTGACCTTGTCACACTGACCCAGCTGATGAGGTCCCCTCTTGCACCGACACGCTTCTTGACTGTTGTTATACACCAATTTCGACCGTCAATATATCCAAAATAAAGGAGAACTAGCTATGCTTTTATGCATATTTTCTTTAAGAATAATCTATCTCCACTTGTACTTGGAATTTTATTTGGTTGCAGAGAACTTTACATAATTGGAGGAGAATCGATGGAAATTAACCGAACAATCAATCGAAATCCGTCGAGAGGTAGACTTATGGGTGATGGGCTTACAAATCCAGTAAAATAACATCAAATGGGCCCAACCACTACACTACTGGACCGAGGAGTCATCACACAACGCACCTGCAAATTTGTGGGTTGATTGGGCCAGGCTAGGGTTCGGCTGAACCCCCACCAGCGCCGGTGATCGCCTCCTTTCACATGGACGTCCAGGATTGCTCCCCAATGACGGTTGCGGGTATTTCGGAATATTCCGACCATCACAACCGTCATTGGCAGCCTATAAATGGAGGTCCCTTCGCTCTACTCCAACACACACTCAAGAAAAAGATCAAGAAGCTCTCTCTCAAGTTTAGTTTACTGTTCTAGTGCTAGTGGAGTAAGAATAGAGTAGTTCTCTTAGACCTCGAGTCTTTAGGAGATTTCGAGTAAGGCTCTAGCTCTTCCTTCTTTTGTAAGACTTATAGTATTAATAAAATATTCTTCTTTATATAGCTTTGGTCTTTTACTTAATTCATACTATTCAAGTACCGACTTTAGTTCGTATTTGTCTCGATATAATAATGTAGCTAGCTTACGAGAGATATGCATTGGTGTGGGTTTAATGTTCATTTCTATGATTGCTCTATGTCTGCTGCAGTGATATGGAGTAGTATTTAGTAATGTAAGCGTGACGCTTAGATTATTAGTACCATTAATTGGGGTTATATGCTATGGGTCAGTAGAAGTGGGCTGCTGATGGTGAAAACTCAGTACGGGTATTCCTCCACGTTCGTATATAATACTAAGACACTTTCCTAGTATGGGTACTCCTCTGTATTCAATACCGATCGGATGTCCATGACGGGTTGTCGTAAGAAAAATGGCAATCAGGGTTAGTCTTTTGAAACACCAGGAGGGCATAGTTAGGGGGTTTGGTTGGATGATCGTATATTAGTAAGTGTAAACTAAAGATGACTATATATTAGAAGTACAGGAATGAATCTTTTGTTCTTCTTTCTCCACTTAGCCTAGATTATAGTTCTTAGTTATTTCTTTTGTGTGTCAATCTTATCCTACCCCTTGAATTGATTAACCCCTGCATATACTTTGGTGAATACAAGTAATATATAAATTATTAGCATAGTACTCTTTTAGCATATCTCCCCTTGAGATTAAATAAATACGATAACTTGGAATACTTCCGGGTGAAATGCTACAATGGTATATTCGTGCGCTTGCGGATTATATCTATAACCGTAAAATATATCGGGAATATTTCAACGCCATTACTAGGAATTATATTTCTAGTAATATCGTTAAGAAATACCAACAAACATTTCTAGCGCCGTTGCCGAGGAAGTTTAATGATTAAGAGTTTACTACATGCTAATAATCTTATATTTACCTTGGTATAATCACTGTCCTTTACAGGCTACCCTTGATTGTTTTTGTTTTATTATGAAAACAGGATAGTACATGATTGGTTTCAATTTGCCGAAAAACTTCCATGACAACACAAAAGCCTTCTTTAGGAGCGTCAAACCACGTGTTGTCCCTCCTTAGAAGACTCTATCGACAGAGAAACCAGCCATCCAAGCGTCACCAACCTTCAATACCATGGCTCAGAACACTCTCCGCGAGTTCGTTGCTCACTCTGTTGACAATGAGCCCATTGGGCCGCAAGTCAAGTTAGGAGACGGTGACTTTGACTTGAAAACCAGCGTAATTACGATGGCACAAGCTAACCCGTTTTGCGGCAAGCCTAACGAGGATGCTAGTGCTCATTTGCAACAGTTTCTCGAGATCAGTAGCACCTAGACCATGAAGGAGTTAGCCCAGATGCCATTAGACTCCGCCTGTTCCCGTTCTCCCTCCTTGGGAGAGCTAAACAATGATTCTATGCCAACCGTGCAACGGTGAACACGTGGAACAAATGCTCTACATCATTCCTCTCAAAATTCTTCTCGATGGGCAAGACCAACGCCCTTCGCGAGAGAATATCCAGCTTTCAGAACACGAGAGATGAGACGATTCCTGAAGCTCAGGAAGGGTTATAGGAGTACGTCACCGTCTATCCTCATCATAGGATGGACAAGTGGCTTATCCTGCAAAGTTTCTATAACAGACTAACTCCCTCGTCCCAGGATCACCTGGATGCTGCAGCTGGAGGAGCCTTCTTCTACGAGACGGTTAGAGGCGCCGTAGATTTAATCGAGAAGATGGTCTCGAACATGGGTTGGAGCGAGGAACAACTCCAAACCCGTCAACGCGACATGCACAATGTTAAGGAGACGGAAATGCTTGCTGCCAAGTTGGATCTCCTGATGAAACGACTGGACGATCAAGAGAAGAACATGCCTCAAGGCACCGTCAAGGCCTTGGACTCACACATCACATGTGGAGTCTGCAGCAACGCGGATCATTCCGGGACTAGTGTTGTGGATAACGGTTGGTACGGCCGTATATTCAGATGTCAAGACGGTGGCACTGACCTCTCCGCCACATTTTAGCAAAACGGTGCACATTAGTCGTTTCAGCTAGTGTTGTGGATGACGGAATACGGATGTCGTCGGACTTCCTCCGAACATAAGTTCCTTGCTTCCGATGATGATCATGAGACTGAAGTTTCAGATAATGATGTTGCACTTGATGATGATTCTTTGGAGTAACTCGTATCTTATTAATTTGGGACCTTGTTTTAGTGTCACTTATATAGTGTTACCTGCTTTCGGTATTCCTTTATGCATTACGAACCAAACCTATCACTATTTGATGCACAACTACGAGTGTTCAGACCTATATTTTACTATATGTCGAGTTAACATCATGTTATCCTTATTTTTATTTAAGAATAATAGGTATATACACAGTTATATGCATTTATCTGTAAAAAATAATAAGCTATTATGAGTTATGTACATATATTTGTTCAAAACGTTAAATTTCCGTCAAATTCCGATTATTCGTCCGTACTCCGATTAATCGTTTAGCGGTACCCTCTCCATCCGACATCCGTATTCCGATTGTTACAAACTTTGCAACATGCATATTTAAATTGTAGTTCTTATTATTTGGTAAAACATTCATAAACCCATTTATAACAAAAGAAAAATGCTAACTGCCGTATTCCATGCCCAGGTGACACCGGCCGCAGGGCCCAAGAACCATCAGGTTAACGCTGTCAGGGACTTTCGGCTCAACGTACTTCCTTGCAGCGGCGAGGGCTGTCTCGGCCTCCCGGAGAGCCTCTGTACTCATCTTCCTGCACCGATCATAGGAGGAGCACTTCCTGTCGTAACCAGGGGAGGTGTCAAGCGTCAGGTGTTCGAGCGATAACGCTGCGATCACGAGGATATGGCATGTCAGCTCGACCAGGCTATTCGCCGAGCAGAAACCGGTGATGGTCACCTTCCTCAGGTTGCCGACGATGCCACCATTGCGGAGTTTGCTGGCCTCCCGCCCCCTACATGAAGCTCCATCGTCAGGATTCCCACGGTTCTGGTCGTTGTACCATCTGATACCATATGCAATCTGTAAACATGAATTTGATTAACATGTCATAAGTTACAAATTAATTATAGAGTAAATTTGAGAAAACCCTATATTTTACTGTCAAAGTTACAGAAAACCCTAAGTATATTACGGTTCTAAAGTTTTACATAACCCCACCCACGTAAATGCTGAGCATGGATTTAATTAAAATTCTAAACCATAATTATTAATTTCTTCACTAAGGTAGATAGTTTAACTCTTCACTACTTCGCAAAAAAAAAAAAACTGCTTCAGATATTCTTGAATTAATCAAGATTTCAATAATTGTGGGGATTTATAAAACATTTAGATCATAAAACATAAAAACTATGGTTTTGTGATTTTTTTTTATTTTGCAATTTTGACCATAAAATATGGGGTTTTCTACATAAAGAGTTGAGAGTTGTGACTGAGGATTGACTCGTAAAATGAAGGTCTCCAAGGCAGGACAAGCATCAACGAAACTAGCCAAAGAGAGAAAGTCATAGCCTGCGCAAAACATAGTTGATTGGCCAAGGCAGATGACGAGATGCTTGAGTTGTTGGAATTTGTCATGCATCACTGGTGCCTTCAACCTCTGAACAAAAAAAGAAAAGAGATCAAAACATTGAATTACTGAGCACGCAACCATGCATGCTTAACATGCATGATTGCACAAAATAGTCTCAACCGCTCATTGATGGCAATGGTACCTCGTAAACAGTCGACAGCACAAGCGTTTCGAGATTCAGCGCGGCGGAGGGGAGCTTGGAGCCGGCATACTGGATAACGTCCCCCATTCGAGTGGCATGCACCTCCAGATGCGTCGTCTCGAGCGCGCCACCGAGCCAGAACCTCAGCAGCGGCCACCCGTCGTACCAGACCGTGGCGAGCATCGGCGCGCCGCTCTCGATGGTCCGCAGCATCCTGCACGAGCGCACCCGTAGGGACCTTAGCCGCCGGAGTGCACTAGGTATCTTGAGGGCGCCTATCGAATTGCAGAAGGACAGATCCAGCCGCTCCAGCACAAGGCAGCCGGCGAGGAAGAAACCCAGCTCCTCGTCCGTGATGGCGACTCTGTGCAAGCACACCGTCGACATGCTCTTCCAGCAGCCAAGCAGTGTGGTCATCCCTTCTGTAGGGTGGAAGCCACAGGAGGACAGTGAAAGAGACTGAAGCGACGTTATCTTGTCCTCATCGTCTGAGAGAAGCGAGCAGGGAAATGTGTACTCAGGCAGACAATCATGACCGTAGTAGTAGTAACAGTCGTCGTCGTCCTCGCACTTTGGGAGTAACACAGTGATATCCACAATCCCGGGCTTCACGAAGGCGCGGAGCCAGCAGTCGAGGAGGCCACCGGCAACAGTGGCACTAACTATAGCCTTCCGGAAGGTGGAGAGATCAAGCTTGAGCGACTGCACAATGGTGGAGCCGGAAAGACGGCTCTCAAGAACCTTCTGCGCTTTGGTGAGGATGTACTCGCCTCTCTCGTCTTCGCTCGTGATCCAGAATCGTTGCGAGCTTAATCCCAGGGTTTCTTGATCGATAGTGACAGTGGGGTAGCCTCTCCAGAAACGCAGGAACCTGTGTGACACGCAGGCAGCACGAGCGGCGTCTCGCATCGGCATCCGGGAATGTATGTGCTGCCATATATCCTGCATCGTATGTAACGACCTCGAGGTTATTTAATTAGTTTGCCTTTTCTGGTCATTAGCAAACATACATGTGTGTTGCAACAGTTGAAAATAATTCTCACGATTGATAAAAACTCTACCAATTTAAACAACAAACCAAAACAAGAAAAACAAAATAATGACAAATTAAATAACATCATAAATCATATGTAATATTGAACCCGGTTACGCTCACTTCACGTGGACACGAAGAATCCCTTATGTACATCTCCCCATAGTCTCACAAATCAATCGGGTGACTATTCCCTAAGTTGACACATCTGCATTATGCTATACGTCATCGATCAAAGATTGAAATTTTGATTATTCAATTAGTGAAAGTTTTTTACCTTTAGATGGAAGTATTTGAAAAGTAACAAACTTGCTGCATACACACCTTAATGATAACTTCAAAAGGAAAATAATTATAGGGAGAGATATTTTAGAAAAAAAAAGAGGAAAAAAATAGAAAACGAGGAGAAAAAAGAGGAGATTGGAAGAAGAGGGAGAGGTACACGATGATTAGGAGAAAAGAAAAGGAGAAATAGAGAGAGAGAGAATACGTTGATCGGGGCAGGGGTGCATAGCGCCAAGTGGAGACGTGTGGGACAAGGCGGCAGGATGGTGTGGGTTGGTTAGGTTGGGTTAGGGTGGGCTGGGACAGGGAGGGGGAGGTGCTGGGCTAGGAGGGGGGAGGTATAATAGTTATTAGAATAAGTCTATTTATCTTCTCTTATTCTTGCCTCAAGGTGAATTGCATCCCTCAACTGTAAGACCGGGTATAATGCCTCTCTCAGCTTCAAAAACCTATACCAATAGAGTCTCTCGGTGGTTTTAATAGCAGTTTTATCATACATGGAATGTACTTGATGGGTTAACTTTGTCTTCATCCTATGTGGCATCAACATGGTGCTTCGTGGCACTAAAATAAAAACAGACATAAATGAGACCCACATGTCAGTGAGTAAAACAGTAAAAATAAATATCGGGCTCACGTGTCAGTTAACCTTTCTCTCTATCTCTCTCTCTCAGGTGGATGGCGGCGACCGGCCATGCATGGAGGTGGCGGTGACAGCAGCCTCGGCCTTCCTGCTGATGTGGAGGGGTTTGCATGCGCGGCCTCCGCCTCACCCTCCATGACCCCCTCCTCCCCCCTCTCCGATGACGCCTCGGCGCCCTCCCTAGATCCGCGTTGATGCGAAAAAATACGAAGGACTGGGAGATCTCCTTAGCGGTGTAGGTCCTAAACCTTGATGAAGGCGTGCCAGTCAGTTTGATCCAGCAACTGACAAGATAGATGAATTGAGATCTAAAGAGCCGATCAAATAATCCATGGGTTAACAAGCTGAGGTAGTGATAGTTAGTCCATGTCAATAGGGTTTTGAATAATAGGCTATATGTCCAATGTGTATTCTGAAACTTAGATAAACAATGAAACAACTCGAACAAACAATCCAATCAGCCGATGATAATATAATGAAGTAATGAACCAATCTGCTTTGCTGCAATCGGCTAAAATTAACTTGTATATAATCCAGATAAGCCGATGCAACATTTAGATAACTCATCGGTTGAAACCCCGATGCTACGCTTATCGGCAACCAAAGAGCAAGTTGGATCTTACAATTTCATGTACGACTCCATAGGTCAAATTCGATTGATGCAGCACTAAGTATGAAATGAAGTATAAGATCTATAGAATCGAGCCTTTGATTGTTTTTTAGGGTGGTTATGTATTAAATTTAACCAAGAGTAAAACCATCAAAGAGAAATTTAACACACCAGATAAGATCGGCTAACCCTTTGATGAAACATTAGCATTAACCTATCGGCTTAAAACGATTTTGATTATGAACAACAATCTAGTAGGTCAAACCAAATCGATCCAGCACGAGATTGTATATAATAATCTAATACTCAATGAGCCGATACATCTGTCTATTGTGATGGATATAACAAATCTATTTAAAACAACATTGTAATTATAGAGATATAACGGCTAAGACCCGAGACAGTACCAACTAAACCGATATGTCTCTAAACACAATGCAATTAAAATAGAATAGAAATATCAAGTAGGAAAAAATATCATCCAGATCGAATGATAATCCAGGTAGGAAAAAACCGATGCGTCTCTAAACACCAAATTTTGACGTTAACAACTTGATAATCCAGATCGACACCTCGCCAGACCCACTATCCTCACACCCCGCCTGGTGTGGCCCACAGCTGGGGTCTACTTGGAGGATCTCGGAGTGCTCGAACAGCGGGGAGAGTGGCGCCTGGATGACGTGAATGCCGAGAAGTGCAAGTCGTACCTCCTCTCCACCACCATGGCTACGGCACCCACTGCTGCTGCTAGGTCTGCGCTCCTCGTGGCACTCAGCGTGCTCTTCCTGCTTGCCGTTGGGTGCATGGACAACCACCATGCTTCATCACGATGGGATGAGCGAGCAGGCCGGTCCAGCTAGAGAAGGGTTTCGGCCAACGCCATGCTGACAAGCTCCTGCCACGAGCGGGTGGTCGATGAGCTCCTTGTTGATGGTCGTTATCGATAAGTTTCGACCACCAATATTACCAAAATAGAGGAGAACTAGGGATTCTTGCAATGCATATATATGTTAGGATAATAATATTCCACTAGTATCAGGTATACTAACCTTTTGCAGAGAATAATCATAAAGTGGAGGAGAATCGACATCAACATAGATGATAAATCAATCGGACGATGTCAAGAACCAGACTTATGTATGAATGGGCCAAGAACTCAGAATTGATATGACAAACTAGGCCAAAATTCTCAAGTCTGCGGAGAAGAACAACGGAGGAGGCCGCCAGCCAAAATTGGGCTGGATTGGGCTGGCCCCAAGTTCGGCCGAACCCTTCTCAGCGCCATCCGATCCAGGGCTTCGCCTGGACGGTATGGATTAGACCTCAATGACGGTTGGAGGGTATTTTCGACCATTCCAACCGTCACAACCGTCGTTGGGAGGCTATAAAAGGAGTTCTCATCCTCACTTCACTCACACACCTCAAGCAAGAGCTCTCTCATTTCTCTCAAGTTTAGTTTAGTAGTATCTAGCTAGTGGAATAGGAATAGAGTAGAAATCAGGAGTTCGGAAGCCTTCGGAAGAGTTCAGGTATGGTTCTAGTAGCTTTCCTTTCCTCTTTTGTAAGCTTTGTACTTTTATTAGAATACTCTTCTGTATACATTTATGATATTGAAATACTTTCCAAGTATATGAATATCTACTTTACATTATGTTCTTGTTATACTGAATATACGGTTAGCTTATCTGAGAGATGCTTTGGTGCGGGTATAATGTTTGCTTATGCAATTACTCTATGTCATGATGATGATATTAGAGTAGTATCTGGTAGTTTAGACGTGGTGTCTAGATTACGTGATATCATTATTTGGGGTTATATGCTGCGGATGAGAGGTGGGCCGCTGATGGTGACAGCTCAGTACGGGTATTCCTCCGCGCGTGTATATAATTCTAAGTTAATTCCCTGGGGAGGGTATTCCTCCGTATTTAGCCCCGGTTGTATGGTCATGACGGGTTGTCGTAAGGAACTCGGCAGTCAGGGGTGGCTTCTCGAAGTACCAGGAGGGCATCGGATAGAGGGTATTTGCTAGTATATTGGTTAACTAGAATATATGTATACTATGTCTACTAGAAGTATAGAAACATATTTTCTTTCTCTTTTCTTTCCACATAGCTTAAATAATATATCATGAGAATAAGTAGTTAATGCTTGTGTGTCACTCTACCCTTGTATTATCTTAACCCATGCTTAGAATATGATTATCACAAGTAATATATAAATTATTAGTCAAGTTCTCTCTACATGAACTTCCCATGGGATAAAATAGATACGATACCCTTGGAATACTCTCAGGGGAAATGCTACAATGGTATATCCGTGCGCTTGCAGAACAAGCATTTATGGCACCGTTGCCGGGGAAGATTAAAAATAGAGATTACCTGAACTAATACGTTATATTTACCTCTGTATAATCATTTTCCTTTGCAGGCTAACCTTGGTTGTTTTCACTTTTGTTGTAAAAACAGGGTAGTGCATGACTGGTTTCAACTTGTTGGAAAACTTCAAAGAAAATCCAGAATCTTTCTTCCGGAGCGTAAGGCCACGAGTCACTGCTTCGTAGAAAACTCTACTGATAGAGAAACCAGCTGTACCAACACCACTGACCTTCAAGACTATGGCTAACAAGACTCTCCGCAAGTTCGCTGCCATGGGAGACGTGGATTTCGACTTGAAGTCCAACCTCATCATTATGGCGCAGGCTAGCCCGTTCTGTGGCAAGCCTAATGAGGATGCCAACGCTCATCTGCAATAGTTCGTGGAGATCTGTAGCACGTACACCATCAAGGGCGTCAGTCCGGACGCCGTCAGGCTAAGCCTGTTTCCGTTCTTCCTTCTCGAGAGAGCGAAGCGGTGGTTTTATGCCAACCGTGCTGCTGTCAATACCTGGGACAAATGCTCTACGGCATTCCTCTCGAATTTCTTTCCGATGGGTAAAACCAATGCCCTTCGAAAGAGGATTTCGAGTTTCCAGCAGACAAGGGACGAGTCCATTCCGAAAGCATGGGAACGACTACAGGAGTACGTGGCCGCCTGTCCTCATCATGGGATCGACGACTGGCTAATCCTGCAGAACTTTTACAATGGGCTGACCCCAATGTCCCGCGATCACCTGGACGTGGCAGCTGGAGGAGCTTTCTAAAATGGTTGAAGGAGCCGTTGATTTAATAGAGAAGATGGTCTCCAATATGGGTTGGAGCGCAAAATGACTCCAGACCCGTCAGCAAGGTATGCACACCGTCAAGGAGACGGAACTGCTTGCTGCCAAGCTGGACCTCCTCATGAAACGATTGGACAACCACGAGAAAAGGCCACAAGGCACCGTCAAGGCCTTGGACTTGCACGTTACGTGTGAGGTCTGCGGCAACACGGGT